CCTCATAGTCCCACCCATTTGCCCAGGATTATGTTCCGGCATGTCTATGACCTGCAAAAAGCATTCAGAGAGGGAGGTGAGAATGAGGGAGGAATAACAGTCCCAGGCAGACTCTGAAACGTTAAAGGGAGAAAAAAAAAACAACAACATCCATACAGAAAACAAGCAAACCACCCCAAAGAACATTGTTTTGACAAGGTGGACCAACAGACCTAGATTAGGTAGCCGAGTTATTCTAGTAAAGGCTGTACAGAACATACGGAAGGTTTGCGGGTATTCAGTCAAAGCCTACATAGATCCCATGCACTAATACTGTGCTATTTACTGAACTAAATGTTAAACAAACAAACAAGCAAATTTACAGAAACAAAATCCCCAAATCAGAATCACTTACACTTTGATAAATAACTTCGTAAGCTGTTTTTTTGAAAACTTTTTCCTTTTGAGTAGTATTTTAAATTATAGCAGAAGCCAATCATTATGGGGGACCCTGGACAAGGCACATAGAGCCTGCAGTCTAAAAAAGGCAGGTTCAGAAATCTGTCCACAAATGTTCCAAGGAATTCATGTCTGCCTGTGTTAATTTCTGAGATCATAATTAAACAGTTATGCAGTGGAATCTGGATATCACCAGATCTTTAACATTTACTCTGTGAAATCAGTTAGCTTTCAAACTGCCCTTTAAGAACCTTTTACCTCTTAGAAAACACCTTGCCTCATGAGAAAGCGTAATTAAAAAAATATTAGTGTTTCACCTATAATAAGCACTGCAATCTGCTATGAAGCAGCAACTGCCATGCAGTTAACCAGGCAAAGACATTTTCTTTTCAGATTAATAAATGATGGAAGACAGACTTAAAAGTCACAAGATGTAATAATCCAAGCTCTTAACTGTTCCAACAGGTATGGGCAGAGAAGTCTAGCACAGTAAGGATATTACAAGCAAGTCGCCATAAACTCACCACTGGATGAGCAGTTTTGGGGTCAAATTCTGTCGAGTTAGCATCTGCAATGTTATGTTCATCAATTAGAAACACGAAGTCCCTCATACCGTGACATGCATTTACAAGACCTCCCCCAGGCACAGCTGCGTCTCGTCCCCACACTTCTGGCAAGCAACCTTAACTGTGCTGAGCCACTCACCTGCACAGAGCTGCCAGCTCAGCCCCGACAGCAGAAACAGGACTCTGTCAGCACTGTTTGATATGAATTTCTGAGACTACCTGGAGGTTGCAATCTTGGGGCAACCAGTCTAGTGCAGTCAGTGATGACAGCGAGGGTCATTGAGGAAGAGCACACATTCAACAGCTTAGAATATTTTAAATAAAGCCAGGGAGCGGGAAGGGAGCAGTACTCTGAGAAACACATTTTCCCCTCCCTTCACTACCAGTGAGACTCGGAATCAGGCTGAGAAACTAAATTTAGCACTCTGTAAAGGGAGTTTTGACAACAGGGACCTAGTCAATTCAAGCAGTGGAGCCCAGAAAGCAATTCAACTCACTGAAGTAGGTGCAACTGCCTCGTCGGCTGAATTGATTTTTGGTCTTCATTCCCACTGGCTACAATGGGAATTTAGGATGTCCAGCACACACAGGCACAACTCCACTTAGGTGTTTTATTCAGGAACTGAACCTCACTCTAAGCAATAGAAAGTTTTCTGTCATTATAAGCATGCCTTACTCCATTGATTTTTATTTGAATAGGAGAAGGAAATTGTTCTTTTTCCTTTGAATTGGCAAAGGAGATGGGGAATTTTACAGGCCTGGAAAAAAAATTAAATCTACCTACCAACGAAAAGTTAAAAATTACAGGTATTACTCAAGCAATCAAAGAAATGACCAAAACCCAGGAAGGGTTTTGTGCAATTACCTTGCCAACCAAGAACACTGCGTGCAAACTCCACAACTGCTAACTGCATTCCCAAACAAACTCCTGCAGAAGGCAAGGCAGAACACAGATCAAGTCAGGACAAGGACCACTGAGCCCGTACCGCAAAGCACACACACCTTCACAGAGCAACCCCGAGTCAGAGGAAAACCTGGATGAGACAGACCTTTGATTTGGATCTGGGGGTCTGTTCACTCTGTACCAAGTAGTTCTGACAAGTTTTACTCCACACCTCCCTTCCCCATCCACTGAGCTCACACAATGTTTCCAGTCTCTCACCACATCCATTTCGTTTAAATGCAGTCACATATTTCTTCGTGCCAAGATCACCACAGCCTCCTCTGAAACTTCCTGAGACTCCTACCCCCTCATTATAGAGATTCCATGTCATCACATCCCAGCCAACCCTGACCACTTCAGAGCTAACTACAGATGACTGCTGCATTACCCAGTTAAGCTGAGCATAGATCATCACCTTCCTCAATCAACTATCTTCAAAACTGTACATTCTAGATACCAATGAAAAATCAGTAAAAGCTCTCGCTGCAGGCCAGGCTGTTATTCAAACTCCTTCTTTTCTTTATTTCTTCTTGCAGATGAAACATGTTTCTCACCTAAGAAGGGTTTTTTCTGTTTTCTTGCCCAGGAAATAGCTTGAATTTTGCCTTCTGTCCCTCGAACACCAAATCCACCAGGAACCAGAACTCCACTGCATGAGGATGAAAAGATTCCATTCACATAGGGCTCACCATCCTGGTTCCCCCCACCACATACCACCTCCCTCCCATAAAATCTTGGCCTTGCAAGGCCTCACTCCTGAAAAGGGCTTTAAAGTGCCCTACGTGGCAAGGCCTGTCTGCAGCACAGTTTCCATATGACTTCATGTGAGCTGTCACATAAAACGTCACAGAATTTTCAAGGAAACGTTTTATAAATGCACATTTTACCTTCCCAAGAAATCCCAAATACAATGCAGGTTACAATACTAGAACGGTTCATGTTGCATGACCCACATGCTCTGCACCAAACGTTGCTGAGGAAGCCACTGGCTGCAGTGTCAAGTTGTCCTAACGGCAGGCACAAGGACACCAAATTCTGCAGGAAGTTCTTCATTCTCCCGGTACCACCCAAAGCCTGCTTCCCTGAGGGCTAACAAGCCCCGCCCTGTTCTTGTTTTCTGGGCTAACTCTTGGCATTCCTCTGCGTCCTAACACTTCTTCCCTTCTCACGCTTTCTGCCTGAAGAACTTTATGCCACATTTACACCCTCCGTCCTCTCTCTTTTGCTTTAATAGCCTTTGCCAGTACCTATCCTTTCCCCTTATTTCCTCTCACCCTGTTTCCCCACTAAGCCTGCGCACATCCTCATCTGCACGACCATCTCCCCTACTGCTGCCTTTCACAGACTCCCTCACTTATTTACCAATTCTCCATTTTACATCTTATCCTAAATTTTATTGAGAGGTATTTGGGGCAATGTCAGAGTGTGCTGGTACAGTGCCTAAGAAAACAGTCTCCAGTGAGACTCCTAATTCCAAAACTGTCAATAGTGGCAAGTTTATCAGACATGCTCCAAAGAAATGTCCAGAGTATAGGAATCTTACTCAGCACCACACAGCTTCTGCCATGCTTCATGGTATCGGACAGGTTCTTCCTGCAGAGTATCTGGCTCCAAGTCAGCAGAGTCAATATACTGGGAAGAAATCCAAAACAGGATTATGAGATACTGCCACTACAGTGTAAATACAGGGTCTCCTTAATTCTCATTAAATTAAGATATCATCATTCCTCCTGGATAGCTCTGAATTTGTTTCCTATTAGATACTTGCTTATGTTTTTTCTGGGCTGATTTCCTGTCTGCTAGTCAACAAAACTGCTTTCCAGTACCATCATACTACAGATGCACAAACGGAAGCCATGTTTTCCGTATCTTCCCTTCTCTGCAGCTCTGCTGTCACATAAATGAAGCTGATGTCCATTAAGACCTAGACTCATTAAATGTGAAGTCTTAATGGAGCACAGTGAGATGGGAACACACAGCTACGCAGACAGAAAGAACCACACAGCAAGAAAAAAACTGAATCACTATCTCATCAAATACACATCGTTTAATCTTCAAGAGAGACTGAAGAACAAATAGGATATGGTGAAAACACAGGCTGTTGTAATTAAAGGATGCTATGACCAATGTTACATATGGAAAAAACTGCAAATTTTCCAGTTTCTCATCTCCAGTATCTCTGAACTTCTGAATGTTCTGGCAGTCTGCTTACCTTTTTGAACAACCTTTTTTTTTTTAAAAAAAAAAAGCTTGGAATACTGCTAAACAGTTCTTTAACCCAACGTAAGATCTCCATGCACAGGACTCACAGAACCCATTCCCCTTCTGAACCATACAAATCCAGCTGTGTCAGGAACTACCCATAGATGCATGTGCAGGGTTTACCCTGTCTTACTTGTTTTTCTTCTTTTCTCCTCTACTGATTTTGTACGTTGAAAGGTAACCCAAGCGCAGAACATGCTGTTATAAAGCAAGCACCTATTTCTGTGACTCACCGGCATCATGAAACCGCTGTACATTTAAAAAGTATATTTAAATGAAAGTAAAATTTCTGACAACAGATACATATTTCTCCTCTTCAGAGCATCTAGCTACAACCAAGACCCTTAAAAGCACCTCTGCAGCCAAACCAGCACTAAAACCTTAATAAAGTCTGAGGCAGAAGCATCATAAAACCTGTGAGTACCACAAGGATAACAGCAACAACCCTAAAAAAAGGATCACTTTCAACAACTGTCAGAGGAATTAAAGCCAACAGTCCCCTCCTCAAATATATCTACCGCTCTATCACAGTTCAGTGCTCAACACTGAGCACTGAAGAGTTCCTGTCAATTATACAGACACCTTGTATGTCTTACAGGATGAAAGGCTGGTTTGCTTTGAAGCTGTTTTATGCCTGACAACAGATATTTTGATGCTGTAATCCAAGGACAAATTCGAAGTTCACTGGCTGAATCAACTCTCCCTATGGGTTTCTGAAAAACTTAATTAAGATGGGTAGCACTGTAGGTGGAAGGAGTATGGGGGGGATTTTTTTTTTTTTTTTTTTAAACACACATGCACCCACCCCTACCTTAATGTCAAGTTTGTGGTTGATAGCCAGTGCAGAATGCTCCAGTGCTTTAATGACAGATGCGTAGGAATCTGAAAACTTGGTGTATTTGCCAACAAGCGCAATGGAACATGTTTCAAGGAGACGGTCATACCTAAACAAAATCAAAACACACAAGTTATTTCGTCATTAACAGGAAATGGGGGCAAGAATCACTTACATTCTATTCAGCTTTTCAAGTAATATAAACAGTTGGGCTCTTGAAAGTCTGCCCAACTAGAGAGATGACGACTTTGGAAGAGATGACCTTTTGTAACAATTATGACTTAAAACCATCAAAGTAAGAATAGAAGAAAGCAGAAAAAAGAAAAAGACAATGACAGAGAAAAACAGTTGCAGAAAGTCATGTATAAATTAACTCATCCCTCCTTATGCTGAAAAGCCATTTTGAGTAGATCCAAACTGTCTTTTCAGGAAGCTGTATTATATTCAAAGTCTGCAGTAAACTATCAGGAGAGAGGATCAAAGCACAACTCTCCATATGTTTATACTGTACAGCATCTTCCCACGCTGCTTCTGACTGAGTTCACTTCAGCAGCTAGAAATACAGAAAGGACTTCTGGAGTCCTAAGGTTGTATGGCCTACACTTTCAATCCCCAGCGTGTGGCAGCATGGGATTTACGCAGCATTCTTGGCTACAGCTAAGAGATTGTTTAAAGTTTATTTCAAAATTGCTAAGTACCTTCAACCAAGCTGGTTACCGAGCGCTTTCCCTGTCAAAAGAAAATGTTCTTCACAGTGGTGGCTCGTGTCATGCATATAAAGGGAAACATCTAGATCTTGAAAATTAATTTCTTATAAGGACAAACATATTTGAGGCTTCAGAGAGGGCCTGAATGCCAAGTGAAAAGACTCAATTCACTATTTCCCCACGAATATGGAGTCTACTCCCCACAAGAAAAAAAACCACTGTGTCCTAGGAGTCTCAGACAGAACAGTTACAAAACAGTTGTTTCACTTGCTTGAAAGCATACTTAAAAGGTACATTTTTATTGACACTCCTGATGACTCCTACATATGCCTACAAAAGGATTTCAACACTTTGTAATGTCATTGGGGTTTTTTTGTATAAAAAGGGAGCGCAGAGCTGTCCACCTTTTAATTACTTCAAACTGGTTTTGACATGGACAGTACAATACCAACACAAGATAAGGAACTCTGTAACATTATCTTACAGGATTTATGAAGAAAGGCTGAGAGAGTTGGGGTTGTCCAGCCTGGAGAAGAGAAGGCTCCGGGGAAGCCTTCTTGCGGCCTTTCAATACTTAAAGGGAGCTTATAAAAAAGATGGGTACAGACTTTTTAGCAGGGCCGTTTAAAGGTCCCCTCCAACCCAAACGATTCTATGATGCTCATGTTGAAGAAATTTTTTTTCAAACAGTTAAACATCTAGGAAGAAAATGCATTCTTGTAGTAAAAAAAAAAAAAAACAGAAGAAAAGAATTTGAGCACATAAGAACACCTGAGGAACATAAAGTAACAGTCATCACCTAACAACCAATGACCAAGAAGAGAAACTAATCTGGAGTCTTAAGGCAAACTATGCCCAGTGGTGCAGCTCACCTGTCAGCCATTTCCTTCCACTTCATAAGCATCCTCCTGGGCTGCCTCTCAATGGGAAGGTCAAGCCTGTGTCTGAAGTAGTCAACAACTCCCTGCTCCTCTAACAACAGAGGAACCCGGTAGATAGAAGAGACATCATGAACACAGATGACCTGTTCATACAATATGAATGTCATTAAAACAGATCTAAGTGCCTGTGCAGTTGTTTTTAGACAGGTATTCAGAGAGCTTCTGTCTCCAGCAGACAACCATATGACCACCTAAACTTCCAGGAAACAACATCTGTTGAATAACGTAACATATGAATAGCTTAATACTAGTTTCCACATACTTGAAAAGGTCATCCTTCAACACTTTCCAGGTATTACAGCTCACTGGAGCTCCTTGGGAAGGGCTATAACATGATAACCTAGCAGTAAGAAAGTCAGCTGCTACGCAAGTTATGCGAGCGCACAGCAAAGTTCAAAGAACAGTTCAAAGAGACTTCTCCTGTGATACAGCCTTCTTGGTAATCCTGATTGAAACTACAGTTAAACTGCCCGTAAGCCCAGCTTCCCTGTTTCCCACCACTGTTGTTCTTAACCAGGGCTCCCAGTCTGATTAAAGCCCAGGGAAATCTGTGATCTCAATACAGCAATAAATTTTACAGGGCGTCCTTCATCAAACTTAGGATTAAACAACTATGAGCAAAGAATTCTTAGGTCAATGAGGAATACCTATGTCAACAGTTCTACTTCACCGAAATGGGCTTCCTCAGAAAAGGAAACAACTGTCACCTGTCCATCAAGAATGAGACTGTACTTTAAGGATCAAAAATATACTGGCACAACTATTTTTAAATCCTCATTTCTCCTGACTCAGATGAAAGCAGAGTTCAACACTGCACCTGTAAAACCCCTTAGGCTGCAAATTTTCCTTCTTTACAGTCAATAGCATTTACTCCTCAATTCAAGTGCAACTGCAGTCAGAGAAACAACTATGTAAAATTGCATTAAACTTCCTTGAAAGTGACTGACAAGAGCCAACTTACTTTCAATTCCTGGCCAACAAGAGGTAGATATTGTACTGCTGACACATCAATATTATTGCCAGCTAATTCTGAATGTCATACTTAAAACTGCAAGACTCAGTTTGATCTCGTTGTATAGGAAATTAGTAAAAATGACTTGACAGAGCCTGGAATTGTGAAGCGATACTCACAAAAAGATACTCACAAAAAGACAAAATTTTTCAAGCTCCAGCTGGATTGGAAAGTGTTCACATTTAGCCTACAGACTGTTTGATTATTTTCAAAGGTCTACCTCAGACTATGCTATGCAGAGTAGTCTCAGTATAAAAGGAATCATGCTAACATGGAATCTTTGCGTATCACAACATTCAAGTGAAGCAATGCTTCTCTCAAATACCTTTCCAACTTCTCTGTGCAATCTCTCCTCATGAAATCTTGGGCAGAAGAATAACATTGTGAAAAGAGCAGTGTACAAAATACATTCAGGTATCCTTTAAACCTAATTTTGGGCAACTACTCTTTGGCCTCTAAATACTGAAAAATTTCATTCTTCCGTATTCACAGAAGGAATGTAAGGTCAGAAACAGCTATTCAGAAAATCCCTTGGATTCCACAGAATTCTCTAAGCCTACGCTAACTACCTTATAAGAAAACCTGTGTGCTGGCATAAAAAAGACTATTTTTGCAACAGTTACATGTGTAAGAAATGTAGGCAAGACAAAGCAGCAAATGAATTATGCAGCGAACAAAAGACACAGCTAGAACACAAAAACACTACACTTGGATAAAACTCCACTCAGAATTTGACAAACAGCTAGAATATTTATTGCAAGGAAGCGCAGACAGCAATCTTTACCTGTTCTGGTTCAACATGACAGAACATGGAAATCTTTTCTTTTACTGAGGTATCCAATGGAGTGGAGCACCTGCAAACAATCTAACAGAACAGCAACATCAAGGTGGTGAAGCAAAACAGAAGTACTCAGACATTCATATAACAAACCTCTAAAAAAAGCTGTCTTTCCACAGTCTCTGTGACTTGGGAAAAAAACCCAACTCAGCTACTTTTACTTGTTTATTACCAATATACAAGAGCTCTCAACCTAAGCATTATTTAGACTAGGATGTTGTTGCAACATGCCAGTACTGCGTTTTTAAATTCAAAGCCATGCAGCAAACCTTACCAGATCTGGGGAGAGACCAAGACCTCTGAGTTCACGAACACTGTTTTGAGTGGGTTTAGTCTTCTGCTCTCCTGTAGAGCTTGGCTGGTCAGAGAGGAGCAGAAGGTGGTATATCAAATTATGATGATACGTAGCAAAGATTCATCAGGCTAATCGGGACTCTCCACCCTATCCATCTTGTAAAAACTTTGACCCAGTTCTTAGACAATTCACGTGAACTTTAAATACCCCTGTACACTATCATTTTAATCTCAAAGACTGAAAGCAACTGGCAGAAACCAGAGTTCAAGTCTGTACAGTAAGTAGGTATGCATTATAGTGAGGGAAGGAGAGAGCAGAGATCCTAATGTTTTTATCCACTGCTCCCTCCAAATACCTAATATTTTATATTTCTATTTTTTTCTCCGTAAATCACCTGGCCTGGACAGAAAGGGACAGAAAGACAGAGAAGAGGAGAACGAAGACTGATCTGCACTGCAGTAATTATCAAGTTGCTCTGTCAAATCCAGTTCTGAGACAAGGAATACTCATGCTCTCTAGTACTGTTAACATAACCATGGACGAATTTTTTCAGCAGTGAATCCTGCAGTAGAGATTTTTTATTTGGTTAAGACTGTAAATTGTCTCCAAAACCAGAGCAGATAATACAGATGAGGTTGTATCAGGCATTATATGGCATAAAACACCTTCATATGCTTTTGATATTATCTGCAGTTCACCCCATCTACTTGGCACATAAGGATATGTTGTTTTTCTTTGTGATTTGTAATTAACTGATTCTGATCATAGCACTGCTTCGTAACACCTTTTCTTAGTTGAATCTCTGAACCAAGGGCAACTGCCACTCGGATTGTTATGGCTTACATAGCAGTCAGATGTGAGAGTCTATGGAATTACTGTTAAAGATCAAGGCTCATATTAAAAACATTGTCTAAGGAAAAAAAAACCCACAGATTATGTTTCAAAACACACTATTATATTTTGAAATTACAAAAGTAACCCAACCTATTTCATGAACTACAGCTAATGTAAATCTTGCGGGGCAGGGGGAAGGGCACACAGCAACAGAAATATTAAAGAACTCCAGGAAGAGCTTGGAATATGATCTTATTATTGTAAGTCCAAATGGCTGTGAAGTCTGGCTGTATCACTGAATTTTAGATTAGCTTTGCAGAAATGAAAGGCTATGCAAATGAAGGGAAAATGAAAGTTTTCAGCCCTAGAAAGCAAGTCTACCTGCAAAAGCTAGGAGACAATTCCATAGAGAAAAACAGCAGTTAAAGATGCAAAACTGCATTTGCTGCAACTCCCAACTATTTATTACACATTTACACACTTTGAAAAGTTTCTGTTCACTTCTTGCAAACCTTTTTAAATACATAACCATATATTCTCTGTATTTCTTCCTGAAGTTTCTATATATAGAATACAACTGTAACAGTGCCTATAGATACAGCATTTCAGAAACACGTATTTAGAAAGCAAGTTTTGGACTGGGAAGCCCCTGACCACCAAAACATTTTGGGTCCTTACCTGGGGAACTAGACTGACATGAATGTTACAAAAATTCTCTCTTTTGGCTTTGAACTGGAACTGGCGGAAAGCTTCAATGAAAGGCATGCTTTCAATATCGCCTACCGTCCCACCAAGCTAAAAAAGACACAGACATTTAGAATTAAAGTTAGTACCAAAACATCATCTACTGAATTTGTACGCTAAAGCGTACTAAAACAGACATAAAAGGACACTAAAACATCTGCCCAGTACCTCCCACCGATTCCCTAAAGAAGCATCAACACCAATATGAAAAGCAGGATTTGCCAGCTGTATGTACTACTTCCACAGCCTCCAATCTACCCCAACTATTACTTTACCTTCATGACTTCCCCAAAAATCAAAAAGCCACAAGAAAAAGAGCTTCTCCTATGAGCAGCACCTCTCCAGGGACATTAGCTTTGCCCCTATTCTCTCTTCACAGAAAAGATTTAGGTGTTAAAATTATTGTTTATGAACATCAGGTGGCACTGAGAAGCAAGATTTCCATTAAGTTTTAGTAACTATATAGAGTGGTTTTGGAAACATGCAGGAACAGAGACGCAAGGCATTCTTTGGAGCATTGACAGCCTCCCGTGCGTTGTCAGATAGTGCCTCCTAAGTACCTCAGGATCCAGGCTTGTGAATCCTGGAACAGAAATCGGCACTCAAGCTGCAGGGAGAGTCCTAAGTCACCACGACCTGGGCACTCTGGCAAGCTCCCTCTCTCCTGTATTAGCATATCCTACCAGCCAACTCAGCAGCACCGTCTCAGAGCCTTGGCCCTACTCTCTCCTCTGGCAGCAGGACGTCCCATACAATGCACAGGAAACTGAACGGGGTTTGTCACCACTAACTCGTGCGATTTGCTTTTCTAGGTCTGTGCTTGAACTAGTCACTCCGAGGCTCCCTTTACTGCTAAGGAGGAAAGACAACTGCTTCCAGAGGGTGATTTACCTACCCTCCCTCTACCCACCAAGGAAGAAGAGGGCACAGCACCATTAACTCAGACTTCAGTATAAGACAAGAGCTAAAATTCATTCTGTAGACTAATTCACATTACGCTAGAGAGCAAAGCACCTCAAAAATATAACTGTCCAAGACCTACGTCTTTCTACGTGTGGATTCAGACACAGACATTCAAAAGGTTGGACCGAATAAGTGAGGCTAGCGAGGAGGGATTTTTAACCAACTCAACAACATGCAAAGTTGAACATTACTGTAAAAAAAATATACTACGCAAAATATGCATATAGCTGTTTACTCCATACAAGAAGCAAAACTTTTTTTTAAAAGCTACAAACCTCAATCACACAAACTTGGGGCTCAATGCCATCTTCATCTACAGGAATTCGTGCCTGTCTCATTACCCATTCTTGTATAGCATCTGTGATGTGGGGAACAACTGAAAAAGAAACCCAGGCAAGGGTTAAAGCCACAACCCACGCACATTTCTGCCTCTCACTCATTACAGAGCAAATTATTGAAACTAACTAGCCAGTGCTTCCCATATCACTTCAGCACTGATTTGTGTCTTTAAAAAAGTATGCATTTTTTAAGTGATTATTCTTGGCTGTGATTTTCAAGTGCCTTGGCAGGAAATGCAATCCTGCCTCAATTTAAACGCACATAAGCAACGTTTCCTTTAAGCTGCAAGATTCAAGTACAAACAGTTCTTTGCTCTCAGCAGAGTTACTCTGTTTTAAACTGTCTATAGAAGTCCTTATCCAAACCAGCTGTGGAGGATGCTTAAAAAGGGAAGGGACTGATCTGATCCTCAAAGATCCTTTGGGTTTTCTAATTACATGACAGTTATCAAAAGCAATAACCATTTTAACCAGCTAACAAATATTCCACAGGTGTGTTAGTCTGAAGTCCGTTCACATTTCATATTGGCTATGTTAGACAGCTGGACCCAAGTCCAGCATATAGTCCCAACAATAGGCAGCATATTGCCAAGCACTGGCAAGTTTTGAGGGGCTTACAGGTAACCTGATTCAGTATGGCACACACCACTACACCTGCACTGGTGTAGGTACGTCCCCTTTTAAAAAAACAAACAAAAGACATCACAAGGACAGCGTGTAACAAAGACATCAAGTTAGGATGAAATGCAAAAGCATCCAACCAGGACAGAAATACAGATTATATTTCTAAGCATCAGAAATGAAGCTTCACATCACCTTGGACAGTTTTGCCAAGATAGTCTCCCTTCCTCTCCTTGTTGATGACATACTGGTAGATCTTCCCAGTAGTCAGATTGTTGTCTTTGGTGAGTCGGATATCGAGGAAGCGCTCGTAGTTACCAAGGTCCAGGTCCACTTCCCCTCCATCGTCTAGCACAAACACCTCCCCTGCGGCACAGAGAAAAAGGCACAAGCACACGTGTCAAGGGGAAACGGTCCACATCAGCAATTTGTTGGTTCTGCCTGTGACAGCTGGAAGAATTCAATGTAAGCAAACACCTTCTTTGATTGCTACAGCAAGTTTAGGAGTGGCTAATAGGACTAAAAGCCTTCTATAACAAAGAGGACTACAGAACTGAGGACTGAATCCCTCAACCAGGCAGCGATGATAAAAGACCAGAGAGCACATCTCTGCCGTTTGCTGGCGGCACGATCAGCCCCACCAGTCAGTCCGGCGGCGCCGACAGGCTCAGCCTGCAGGTCCCGCACGCAGGACCAGGCATGCAAAAGGGACGGCTCCTTCCAGGCAAAGCCAGCCCCGGGACCCGCCTGGAAGACCCCGGCGCCCAGCTCAGGGCCGGCTGCCTGCTGACAGCTCGGCCCCGCGGGGCCACTCACCGTGCTCGTACGGGGAGAAGGTGCCGGCGTCAATGTTGATGTAGGGGTCGATCTTGATGGAGGTGACATGCAGCCCGCAGGACTTGAGGATGGTGCCGATGCTGCTGGCGATGATCCCCTTGCCGATGCCCGAGATCACCCCGCCCGTGACCAGGATGTACTTCATCTGCCTCGCTGCCCGACACCCCACACCGCCTCAGCGAGGGCTCTGCCCCGGGCAGGCAGGGACAGACCCGCTGCCTG